CCCAGAGCATGGGGCTTCTGGGCCTGCCTTCCATCCCTGAGCCCAGAAGCAAAGAGGCTGACCTTGGCTCTCAGCTACACAAGCCCAGAGCTGCGCCATTCGCCATTCTTGCTGAGTAAGCCTCTCTCATTTTCCCCTCCAGCAACGGCAAGGTAAATAAAACGTACCTGCCCTCTTGGGGGCATCGGTCCTAGGGTACTGAATTTGTGGAAGACGATCATGAGGCACTGAGGCATGAAGAAATTGTAATCCTATCAGATGTTGCAATATACCCATCCATAATCAGGGCCCCATTGAGCCAGGTTATATGCAATCACATTTCAAGACTGATAGCTTCCAGCCCAGAGGCTTTACAATCCTGAACTAAGCCCATTAAATAGTTAAGCGACTACCACCGAAAATATAAGTACTGAAAGATACAGCATATAGTTGCACTGTTAGCTCAGCAGACACCACTGAAGATATGTTGGTAGGGGTGGCTTTCAGATGGGACTTCACGTAGACCCCAGAGATATTTTTTTTTTAAATCTCAGCAAAGTAGCTATTCAAGTCTGTAACTTTAAAAATGAAATGGTCCTGTAGCACCTTGTAGCCTAATCAAAATATGTAGAGTCATGACTAATTCCTCGGATGCAGTGGGTTTTACCCACAAGAACTCATGATTCTACATACAGTAGGTTAATCTCTAAGGGCATGTTTATACAGCAGCATTATTAGAATAACTATGTTATTCCAAAATAACATCGTGTGTGTCTATACTACAAGCTTTTATTTCAAACTCCTGGCAACCTCATTTCATGAGAAGTAAGGGAAGTCAAAACAAGAGTGTTCTTCTTTTGACTTTCTGCTGTGTGGACCACACCAAAAGCCAAATTAAGCTATTTCGACTTCAGCTATGCAATTGACGTAGCTGAACTTGCATAGCTTAATTTGATTTTTGCCCTGCTGGGTAAATGTATCCTTAGGTGCCAAGGGATCTTGTTCATATGGAACTATAAAAGATTCCCAGGTACTTTTCATAATATAGAAACTGTTACTTGAGATCTGTTGACTCAATTCCACTTAAGAGTATTTATACATTTTTCTGAAATGCTCGTTCATTTTCAACTTAAAACATACTTTTCCACAGACAGTGATGGAACATTGTACTTTTAGTACAGCATGGTTGCTGTGTTCCACCTCATTTCAGTGGCAAGTACTGTGGTGTGATCTCAGTGCAGTGTTCAGTACCTATTTTAGTAGCTCTTTGGGAAAGAGCACTATATACGTACATGTCAGTTGGTATATGTAGAGATGACCCTAGTGCAATAGGATCTTAGTTCATGACTGGGGCTTCTAGGAATTATTTATATTACTGTAAATAAGTACTAGGTGATTGGACGGCAAACTTCAAAGGAAACAAACCTTTCATCTGTATGAAAACTTTATTCATGATTTGAAATAAGCTGCAAACATTGGAGGGAGGAAAGAATGCCACATTCATAATATTTCAGTAAGACATAGGGTCATGATCTTTGCATCTAATTAGCAGTATACCATTACCACGGGAAACTTGCATTTAACTTGAACCAAGCTCTTCACATTAGAAAAGTGGAGGGCAGGGGAAAGCTGTGGTAGTGGAACAGCAATGGAAACTAGTGACTTCAGTGCAGACTAATCAGTTTCTTATGTAAAGATGACCGTGCTGCAGTCATTATTCTAAAAGAGAGATGGATGTTTGGTCAGGAGTTCCAAACATCTGCTGATTTTAAAAATGTCAGAGTGACTTAATAGTTATTGGGACAGCAATTAATCCACTGTTTATACATCCTCATTTGGAAGTTTCGTTACATAACTTAAGCACTGACTATCAAATGGAGGAATTACAGTAGGTTAACCTCGGATTCTGTATGCTGATCTACATAGGCAGTTCTTTATAGCCTCATGGTGCCCCATTGAAGTCAGAGGGGCTCCTGTGTTTGCAGGGCTCTACCCATGTGGGTCAGCTTTTATGTAGAATAAAGCAGTATAAACAGAAAGGTAATCCACTTAAAAGGAAGCCCTGATTTGCTAATTTTTTATACTATGGTTTTAAGATTTTTTTTTTCAATGAAATAAAGTGATTTTTTTACTGCTTGACTTTGCTGAGCTTCTGAATGGGGGGGTAAGGGGGGAAAGAGAAGTGTACTTAAGTAAAATTTCTCCAGATAGCTTGTTGACAAATTGCTGCTTCATTGAAAGCTAGTGAGAAATCCAACAAAGCAGCATAGAATCATGGAATACTAGGACTGGAAGGGACCTCGAGAGATCATCGAGTCCAGTCCCTTGCCCTCATGGCAGGACCAAATACTATCTAGACCATCCCTGATAGGCATTTATCTAACCTACTCTTAAATATCTTCAGAGATAGGGATTCTACAACCTCCCTGGGCAATTTATTCCAGTGTTTAACTACCCTGACAGTTAGGAACTTTTTCCTAATGTCCAACCTAAACCTCCCTTGCTGCAGTTTAAGCCCATTGCTTCTTGTTCTATCCTCAGAGGCCAAGATGAACAAGTTTTCTCCCTCCTCCTTATGACACCCTTTTAGATAGCAGTTTTCAGGTATCACGTCCCCCCTCAATCGTCTCTTTTCCAAACTAAACAAACCCAATTCTTTCAGCCTTTCTTCATTGGTCATGTTCTCTAGACCTTTAATCTCATTCTCGTTGCTCTTTTCTGGACCCTCTCCAATTTCTCCACATCCTTCTTGAAATGCGGTGTGCCCAGAACTGGACACAGTATTCCAACTGAGGCCTAACCAGCGCAGAGTAGAGCAGAAGAATGACTTCTCGTGTCTTGCTCACAACACACCTGTTAATGCATCCCAGAATCATGCTTGCTTTTTTGCAACAGCATCATACTGCTGACTCATATTCAGCTTGTGGTCCGCTGTGACCCCTAGATCCCTTTTTGCCTAGAACTAGACAGTCGCTTCCCATTCTGTATGTGTGCAACTGATTGTTGCTTCCTAAGTGGAGCACTTTACATTTGTCTTTATTAAACTTCATCCTGTTTACCTCAGACCATTTCTCCAATTTGTCCAGATCGTTTTGAATTCTGACCCTATCCTCCAGAGCAGTCGCAACCCCTCCCAGCTTGATATCATCTGCAAACTTAATAAGTGTACTTTCTATGCCAATATCTAAATCGTTGATGAAGATATTGAACAGAGCCTATCCCAAAACAGACCCCTGTGGAACCCCACTTGTTATACCTTTCCAGCAGGATTGTGAACCATTAATAACTACTCTCTGAGTACGGTTATCCAGCCAGTTATGCACCCACCTTATAGTAGCCCCATCTAAGTTGTATTTGCCTAGTTATTGATAATATAATGCGAGACCGTATCAAATGCCTTACTGAAGTCTAGGTATACCACATCCACCACTTCTCCCTTATCCACAAGTCTCGTTATCCTATCAAAGAAAGCTATCAGATTGGTTTTTTCATGATTTGTTCTTTACAAATCCATGCTGGCTGTTACCTATCACCTTGCCACCTTCCAAGTGTTTACAGATGATTTCCTTAATTACTTGCTCCATTATCTTCCCTGGCACAGAAGTTAAACTGACTGGTCTGTAGTTTCCTGGGTTGTTCTTATTTCCCTTTTTGTAAATGGGCACTATATTTGCCCTTTTCCAGTCTTCTGGAATCTCTCCTGTCTCCCATGATTTTGCAAAGATGATAGCTAGAGGCTCAGATGCATCCTAGAATACTCAAGGAGCTGATAGGAGGTATTTCATCAGGCCCTGGTGACTTGCAGGCATCTAACTTTTCTAGGTGATTTTTAACTTGTTTTTTTTTAATTTTCTCTTCTAAACCTACCCCCTTCCCACTAGCATCCCAAACCTTTAGACAACTTCAGGAAAAACAAAACTTTTCCCTTTGCAAAGAGGTTTTCTTGTATTAATTTATGCCAGGTTAAACTGCAGCAAACAAAACAAGGGGCATGGGATTTTCTGGCCTGCTGCTACACATACACACATAGCTTCCTTTCCCATGGCACAGTAGCTAGACCAGCATATTAAATACTTCAGCATGTTTTATTTCAGTACTTTAAAAAAAGTATCAATATCAAAGGGGAAACAATACTTATTAAAATATGCCAGATGGAATCTGCCAAATACTGTGGTCTATAAATAGAGTTCATCAAATAGTGTAAGTATATTCTACATTTTAACAAGGTCCTTCCCCTAAAGAGTTTACAGCATAGTTCAAATAAATGATTTAACAAGGTCCTTCCCCTAAAGAGTTTACAGCATAGTTCAGATAAATGATACACTAAACACACTGAATAAAATATTTAGACTAATAAATTTTCTTTTCAGCTAAACCCCAGTCAAAAAACAAGGTGTACATTTTAAAGCTATTTTTATGAGTAATCTGGTCTGAGTTAACATGCTCATTAGTCAATATTTTCTTTAAGCCATTCAAAATATGCAAAATTTGAGCAACTGTCACTTTTTCTGCAACACTCAGTAGTTAATGATTAACATCTACATCAGTCTTCATTTGGGTTTAATAGAATAAAATTGTTTTACATCATTACAAAGTGATCAACATCCGTTTTCAAATTAAAAATCTTTTTACTTCATACCAATATTTATTTCCACATTTGTATATATGTTAGCAGGAGTCCATTGTGCTGAGCCACCAACTGAACCTTTTTTCTGACCAGCAGGGAATCAATATTGGATTGTTTATCATAGATAATAGCAGTGGTTCAAGGGAAAACAACACTGGTGGGGAAATGTGCCATGTAGGTGGACAAAATCTGCCACACCTCCTAAAGTGTACTTCTAATTTTTTTCTTAATTACTAGTACCACAGTGACTGTTACTAACACTGGATTGTCATTTCCCCAAGAACAAGATGTTTTTGGGGTAGAGGAGAGCAGGGCCCCTATGTTTTAAGTAATTTTCTGAGATAAATTAGCCCACCAGAAATGTGTGCCCTAGTTTTACAGGGGAAGGGCCTGAAGGGGGTGGGGGAAGACAAGGACATTTTATTAAGCTAATCTCAACTATGTTCATGTGTTCTGAAGGGGAAAAAAATCTCTTAAGCAGATCTGGATTCAACAGAACACAAGCGAGTTTTCTTTCATATGCAAGGTATGTCAAAATAATGATGCTTTACTGCATAATTAAATAATAGCACTTCGGCTACTGTTTTCTTACACAATCGCTATTACATGCCCTTCCATGTAAGGCTTTAGAATCTGTTTCATTTGACAAAGCAAGGATTTATTTTACTGTTTTAAAAACATTTTTATGCAAGTGTTTTTAACTTGTACATGCCAACAAAAAAATGGCAACAGGAACAGATATTAAGGGAAACTCAAATGTAATGTATTCTAATTGTTAAATGATTACTTTAAAAATGTCGTAAATATAATGAACAAAAAGGAGTCTGCTATCTTGACAATTTGATGAGGAAAAACAGCTAAAGACAGCTCTCTCATTTGAAGTCAGACAATTAAGTATTAAGTATGCAACACTTATGATAGTGCTTTTCTTAATACTCAATATCATTTTCAAAATATGAGTAACATTGGAATTAACATCTGTTAATTCTCCTTTATTTACCATTGATTAAAAAAATAGGCATAACTTGTAAATGAATCCTCATGGAGCTGGATATTTTTAGATATACAGTAATAGCAATAATAACAACAATACTTTGTAAACTTACAGTGCTTTACTTTGAAGAGCTCAAAGTACTTTACAAATAACCTTACAACTACTCTGTGGGCTGTACAGCTACTATTTACATTTCTACTGGTGGTGAAACAGCCATAAAGAGGCTAATTCCCCTCAAAGTTACACAAGTCACACAAGGATTCAGTGACAGATCAGAGACCAGACCTTAGCAGTTATCAAGATTGCAACTTTGTATTACACAAATGCTAATAATTTTGAAAAAAAAAGTACATTTTTACTTCACCTGTGCTCCCTGCCTTCCTTTCTCTATCTGTCTATGTCTGTTGCTGCTTTTTCTGTGGTCTCCTCAGCCTTCCCTCCACTGAAGGGTCTAACACTTTGCTGCTGTTCTAGTACTCTTCACTGCACATTTGCTCCAGGCCTTGCCCTTCCTGCCTGGTTTACCCTGAGGGATGATGGGATCTGGGAACCCAGAGGCCTGGCTCCAAGGCGGCTGCTGCCAGCCTGATCCAGCTGTCTCAACTGTACTGGAACCCTCAACTCTTCAAGAGATGACATTCTTTTCACCAGTTTTAAAGGGGCCAACACCTGAAAAGTGTGTCCATACAAAACTCTTCACCAACCTTAACTCTGAATCTTTTGTGATGTGACCATCTTCTAGAAAAAGAAATAAGCACTTATTCTATTATGTAACTGTGGAAGTCGACCCTTCTTCTACTAGCTGTCCTGAAGCATCAGCACTGGGAGCCAGGTGGTCACGTCATGGTGTTGAAGTTGGATTTGAATTCATACCAGAGCATTTCAGAATTAAAATTAATACTCCTACATTCAAGAAAAAAAGCCAGATAGGACTCAGTTTCCTTCTGAATTTACTCACAGGATAATTGCTGAGAGTTTCAGTTCCCAGAACTCAAAATTCCCAAGGCCTTGTACTTCCAACTGACCTGGGCTCCTGTAATCCTGTGCCTAACACTTCCTGCTCTGTGAAAGTGGAGGTGGGGTTCCCCGACAGTAAAAGGGGAACATATGCATAGTAATGAACATGGAACGAGTAATATACATTTTCAAGCCCTTTATCCTATCCTATCATCTTTCTGTATTTGAAATAATACACAGAATGGCAAGAGACCAACATATAACAACATGAATTATATTGTTACAGCAGAGAGCCATTTTGTTCTAAATTCCTCTATCACATAGAATTACTTCTTCAGCTGCAGTTCCTCTAAGCTTGCTCTTAGTCCAAAAGTGAATTTAGAATTTTTGAAGAAAACCCAATTTTTAAATATTAAAGCAATAGCTGTCATTTTTAAGCTTCAATAATGGGAGAAAGGAGGAGGGGAAGGCTGCATTTAAAATTTCTGCTTTGAATTCTGTGGTTCCGAATGAGACATGCATACCTTCATGAAAGTTTTGTTGTGAAGTAAAGTGTGCACTGCAGTATCTGCTTTATGAATAAAGGCACACATGCAACTGGATCCATAGAGCCAAAGCCTTGAACCCACACAACTTCACAGAAGATGATAGAGCTCTACATGGGTCTAGCTTTAGAGTTCTGATCGCAGAATTTGGATCTTAAAATGTCTTTTTGAGCCAACATCTTTTTCTTCATTGCTACTTTCCTATTCAGGGCCAGTGACTCAGTTTTCTTCCAAAGTTCATGATTGTATGCCTTGCTGTCACACAAAGTGCTCTTTTATTCCTATAACTATAGCCTAAGAACACTTTTGGCAATTTATTTGGAATGAAACTACAATCTCTCCTCCGCAATCAATTGTTTGTTTCCATGTTTTAATTTACTATAATCATTTTTTCTATTCAAACTAACCTTCCTGATTTTAGGTGGGTACACTCTTCAGTCATCCTAATAGTGATGTCAGGAGCCAGAATCACTTCTCATGGTAGCAAGGCAGCTTACTGCAGGTTTAGTTACAGCAGCTTTTGTTGTTGAAACAGTTGGGGCTCATGCAATCTTTTACCATCACCTTCTTGTCTTTCAAGACTGCAGGTCAAGGAAACTGTGGTGGGAGTTGGAGGACCCCCATGGTTGATATGGAGAAGGATGTCACTTCTCTGTCGGACAGGGCATGCTGGTAGAATCAGGTGTACTGCAGAAGCTTAAATGAAACATGCTGACAGGACAGGAGACTGCTTCCAATGACAAATCAGCAAGGAGAAAGTGGAAGACAGCTAGATGTTTCAGCACACATCCGACTCTGGGACTCACAACTCACCTCATAACATGAATCAGAATAAACTACACAGGAGCATCAGGAAGTATGTTCATGTCTCTGAATGCTTGAATCCTTGTAACATATGGAAAAGCCCTGGTGTGGCCCCAGAGTTCCTGCACTTCTAGGCAGATAGTGTTTGCCTCAGAGGTGCACTGTGGCTCTCCACACAGCCTCTTGCCTTTTACGGGAGGCAAAGGTCACAGCCTACTAAGAGTCACTGCTTACTAGGCCATCCCCATCATTGGCCAATCAAATAAATTCAGGGTGAGCCCCACTTTAGTCCCAAAGGTGCAGGGAGGCTTGGGAGAACCCAGGCCCACCCCCTGCTGCATGTTCCAGCCCAGGGACCCTTATGGCAGCAGCAGGTTAGTAATTCCTCCACCACCAGAGCTGCAGCTTTTCCCTGGGCCACTTCTCCACCCAACTCCTCCCCAGACCTTTCTGCTGGTATCTGACCACACACTTCCCTAGTAAACCCCTTCACTCCCAATCCTTGGCCTATCCTGCAGGGAGGCTTTTTAAACTAGCCCCAGTAGGTTCTTAATGGGCTACAGGTGCTGATTAGCCTGCTGATTGCAGCAAATTCTTAACTTGGCCCCAGATGCCTGGGTGACTTAATTGCATTGCAACAGCCTCTGCCCTGCTCACTCAAGGAACAGAATTATTCACCCAGTAGTCAGTAAATCTGTTAGGCTATGTCTACACTGTCAGCTTCTTGCGCAAGAACTCTTTTGCGGAAGAGTTCTTGTGCAAAAAGTCTTCCACGAGAGAGCGTCTACACTCGCATGTGCTTTTGCGCAAGAGCATCCATGGCAGTGTAGACGCTCTCTTGCGCAAGAAAGCTCGGATGGCCATTTTAACCATAGGGGCTTCTTGCGCAAGAAATTCATGTTGCCTGTTTACACTGGCCTCTTCTGAAAGAGCTCTTGCACAAGTGGGCTTCTTCCTGAGAGGAAGCTTCAGAGTTCTTGCTCAAGAAGCCCTGATTTTCTACAGAATGTCAGTTTACTTGCGTAAGAACGCGCGGACAGTGTAGACAGGTGGCATGTTTTTGCGCAAGAGCGGCCTTTTTCGCGCAAGAACGCGCCAGCGTAGACACAGCCTTAGACTTTGGTAGCCAACTGATCCAGGTCTGTCACGCATAATTAATAGCAAAGAATCCAGAGCCTTTGACACAAGAGATGGAGAACTCTGCTTTGTTTAACTGTCAGGCACTAAGATATTCCAACTAGATACTGCAGAACATAGCACATATTAATAGTGTGGACTGGGCTTGATCTGAGTTCTTTAATGCACAGGTTTGAAATAAAATTCAGAAATAAATGACACTTATTGTACTAAAGCATCAGAGGGGTAGCCTAGTTAGTCTGTAACTGAAAAAACTTAAAACACAACAAATAGACTTGTAGCACCTTAAAGACTAATAAAACATGTAGATGGTATCATGAGCTTTTGTGGGCACAACCCACTTCTTCATATGTAAGGTTCATATGAGTACATGAGTGAGGGCAGAACTGAGCCCTTAATTATTAACAAAAAATATACAGACTGCCTTTTCCTGTGATTTAATCACTGTTTTCTAAGCTACTTTTTACTTGCTCCTCTTGCCAGGAAACCCCATTCTTTGGGTTCTCTCTTAAATTGTGCCTGGTGCTAACACCCCACAATTCTAATCTGGAAATGCTGGTCATCAAAATTGTGCAGGTGTAAATTATTCTTGCAGGTGCAAAGTAATGGAAACAGACTTTGTTCTTCAAATTTGGGATCATAGAAGCTAGAGAGGGAAGAAAGACCCGTTGGAATGTTCTTAGACTTAGTTAATCAACATCCAGTTAATGCAGCACTTATGTACACACCAACAGCTGTAACATCACTGGCAGAACTTATTTCCCTGCCTGCTTCTGTTGGTCACCCTCTGTCCCCAAATGCCACTGGAAGTGGAAGAGCAGGCAGACACTATTCCCCACCCACTGCCACTTTCTATCCCAGCTGTCCCAGAGCTCTCCATCCTGATTGCCACAGCAGCCCATCACTTATGACAGCAAGGTCTCCCTCAGGCCATTGAGAGTTCCCCTAGCCACTGAAGTCAGCAAAGCTCCCATTCATTTTAGTGATGCAGGCTCAAGCCTGTTTTAGATGCAATAACCTGCTACACTAAATGCTGAGACATTCCCCAGACTTAGGCAAACCAAAAGTGAAAGAATTGCATTCACATTGCCTGGACTATTGGAAATCTGGCATTTCTTAACTTGTAATTTTTTACTTTGAAATCTAACGATTTTTAACAGATTTGTATGCATTTTAACTTGTATTGCATATTTAGTTTTCCCCTTGTTTCTGTTGGTGAAGATCTCTCTCCATGGATGATGTTGTGGATGGCTCACGTAACAAGCCAGAACATAACAGGTTCTTTAGTCATTTAAGTAATTCTTAGTCAGACATGTCCAAGTTGCAGAAACAGACTATTGTATGGTAGAATCTCTTAGTATGGATCAGATTTGGCTCACATTGGAGTCAATGTGAATTTTCCATAAAATCAGGTAGCACCACATGATGCTCAAATCCTGACATGTCTTTGACCTACTTTCTCCAAAGATTGTCTGTTACCACATTTCAGTTGGGACAATTTATCCTAAATGTCATGGACACTTTTCTATCTGCCTATCCCTAACAAAACAGGAAGTACCATCCCCTACTTTAAACTGAAAAATAATTCAAGGTTTACATACAAGTTAGTTAGTGCTACTCATATTTAAAATATCTTAAATTGATCTGATTGTCTTGTCAAAAGTGGACGTATTATATTTTCCACAAAAGGCCTTGGATCTTTGCATTGTGTTCCAACACCTTGAATAACCCTAATCATCTCAGACCTGGGGTATCTGTGATTATACATATGGCATAGCAGATTTTAAGTGGGGTAGTCTTGCTTTAGGTGCCAACAGAAATAAACTATACACAACTGAATTACTTAAACTTTTAAGTGAGGAAGTAGATGCTCAGTTTTGCAAACAATGAAATTTGAATGATATACAAAATCTGGAGGAGAAGTGTATAATAAAATGGTCAAACATAATATTGTATCATCTGAGAAAGGAAGAATTATCAAATATTGTAATGTGGAAGACCAGAGAAATAAATACAATCCACGTTGTAGTCTATTCAAATTTACCATGTGTCAGAAGACTCACATAGAAGGATTTGAATACAGCTCTTCCACACAACTAAAAACAAATGTTTAGAGTTAGTGTAAATATAAATTATACAATTGAACAACAATGTTGAAAAGCAGAATTTAAATGTGTAAATGGAAGAAATTGAAGAAAAAACAAAAGATCTAATTGTAACCAACACTCTCCAAGGCCATGTAAGGCATGATTGAAAAGGAATAAAATTGGAGAACAAGGTGAGAAAATAATCTCTTTGTTAGACTCAATGAACTATCAGACAATTTTCAGCTTGAAATACTCAAGAAATCTATTACTGAATAAGTTATTCTGACTATAAGTGTGCAATTTAGAGAAACATTAGTAATGCAAGCTGAATTTCAGGCTTGAGTGGAAGTTTGCTTTGAACAAATGTGCCATATCTAGTAAACACTTCGACAGTATGCCAGTTTTCAGATGACATTATCTGGCATCCTGGAACTACACTTAGAAAGGCTCAGTGGTCCTGGACTGAATCTGTAGACTAATTTCATATTGACACTGATGGAAATGTTCCGGGAGAACAGCGAATCCAGTTGGTAATAGCTCCCTATTGTGTTGTTTAACTGACCCCATGTAAGCGATTCAGTAGGTTCTCTGTGGGATTCAGGGTCAATGGTAAAGGAAGGCATGCAGCAGGGAAATGAGATACAGATGCTCTTCAGAAAGTCATCACTCCGCCAAGCCCACAGAACTTTAGCAGGTAAGTTAATACTGTAAGCGTCTGCAAGTGTGGAATCCCACTGGGGTTCCAAGGCTTGTGTCTGTGGCTACTAAAAGCCTCTGGTAATGCAGACTCCTTGGAGCTAGTCCTGGGGGCTGAGAGAGTTGGAGAGCTCTGCACTCAGTGCAGAAGCAGTTGGTAATTTTTGAATTTCAGAGCCCAGACTTTCCAACTTTCCTTCAGTTCATGATATGGTGGATATTGAGAATCAGACTAGCTGAATTTCCTGTACCTGAAATGAATATTCTGGGAAGTGGATACAAGCTGTAGGGCAACTGGTTGAGAACAACAAAGCATTTTTCAGAGTGAGGAAAAGACAGGGAGTGAGTTTAAAAAAATATGAGGAAATAGTCTACATTACTGTATGCCAGACTAGCGCAAAGCACATTTCCTCCAAAATGACTGGTAGAGCATTAAAAGGCATCCAGTTATACCATGTACTTATCAGCCTTGGATCTCTGATCAAAATGTTTTTCTTCAGAAGTAAAAAGGGTTGCTTCATTATAATTTTTAAAGAGTAGAGGCAACCGCCAGACATTTAAAATTATTATTATTGACTCAAGTCTGGAATTCAGTGTAACAGTTAAGTAAATTAAAAATTGGTTTCCAGGGCCAATGTAATGTATGTGTGTGCATTGTGCTGTGTGTGTCATTCTTTCACTCTACTCTGCACTGGTTAGGCCTCAATTGGAGTATAGGGTCCAGTTCTGGGCACTAGGGTTTACAGATGGGGTCAACAAAAATACTGGACACACTTGACATTACATCACAATCTACATTACATCTTATTTAGAAAATACCCGATATTTACTTTCTCTATTTGTTTCCCCGAACAGAAAGCGCAAATACTAGACTGTCCGATTCAAAACCGTACATCGTCCGATTCAAAACCGTAATTGGCAGCACATTTTAAGAAAGATGTCAAGAAATTGGAGAAGGTCCAGAAAAGAGCAACAAGAATGATCAAAGGTCTAGAGAACATGACCTATGAGGCAAGGCTGAAGGAATTGGTATTGTTCAGTTTGGAAAAGATAAGGGAGGTTTAGGTTGGACATTCGGAAAAGTTTCCTAACGGTCAAGGTGTTTTTTCCTAATGTACAACCTAAACCTTATTAAACTGTGGAATAAATTACCTAGGGAGGTTGTGGAATCTCCATCACTGGAGATATTTAAGAGCAGGTTAGACAGGACATCTGTCAGG